GATTCACTTTATTTCCCAGAGCTTAGATTTCCAAGAAATGGTAAAATGTACCAGCATAGGACAGTAGTTTGCTATTATTATGCTGCTCATTAACTACACCAAATTTAAAAGCACAGCTGCCTAGTCATGGTTCATAGGTTTTTTTCTACATTTAAATAACTTTGCTCTGTACCATACATGTTTCATAATTATTTGCCTTTGTGCAATCGCTACGTCACTTTGTTCCTCTACACGTCCCTTTTATGCGTTTGGATCTCAATCCTGGACACCGTCCAAGCAGAGTCAAATAAAGTACTGCAAGCCTGATAAAGATACCAAGATAAAACTCAATCATCTCAGTTGTTTCAGGGTTGCCCGACATTGCAGCCTAGTTCGTCAACTCGGGTTGAGTTGCAAAACAGTTCTGCTGTTTGGGGCCGAGAGCAAAGGGGCAGCTGGTCGGCTCAGTGGGCTGAGCTGCCCTGAAGTCCCTACAGCCGCTTCACATTCAAACTCCATATGTTAGTTGATTAAAGGTGAAGTGTGGGGAGAGAAGGGGCTGAAGTGTCACTTTATGTTCTATTAAGTATTTATAGTGGTATTTGTAAAGTTTTAAATACAAGGGAATCCTGTCTGTAAGGCTTACTGCAGGTGTATCGTCGTTTTTGGACTTTGCACACCTGCTAACGTTTAGTGTTAATCTGAGCTCATCTTACATTATTGATTTTGTATTTGCATTGATGAACCTTAGGGTTGTGATCAGCGGCACAGAGTCTAGTTGGAGGCCTGTAACCAGTGGTGTCCCCCAGGGGTCAATACTCAGTCCAATTTTGTTCAATATATTCATTAATGACCTGGATGAGGGGACAGAGCGTATCCTCAGTAAGTTCGCTGATGATACCAAACTGGGAGGGGTGGCTGACTCTCCAGAGGGCCGCGCTGCCATCCAGCGTGACCTGGACAGGCTGGAGAGCTGGGCAGAGAGGAACCTAATGAGGTTCAACAAAAGCAAGTGCAGGGTCCTGCACCTGGGGAGGAAGAATGCTAAGCACCCAGTATAGGTTAGGGGTGGACCTGCTGGGAAGTAGTTCTGAGGAGAAGGATTTGGGGGTCCTGGTAGACAGTAAATTATCCATGAGCCAGCAGTGTGCCCTTGTCGCCAAAAAGGCCAATGGAATCCTGGGCTGCATAGGGAAGAGTGTG